GTGACAAGACAAATGGCGTATTTTCTGTCAAAAAAGATGACATTAATGTACTAGAATTTTGGTGTCATCGGGGGGATTCAAAGGCCTCCAAAAGAAGGCCTGATAGACATGGCTTCTTGCCTTGTCGAATGTGATCTATTTTCTTTGGAAAAAGCAAAAAAGACGCTTGAAAATTCTTATCAATGAAGCTAAAAATTGAGAGGTTAAATGAATGCATTCCAGGTGCATGGCGAATGCATTCTATTGCCTGATTAATTACCCTTCTGCCTCGCTCGCCTCATCTCCCCTTTCAACTTTGGCAACAAATTGGTGTTGGAGATATAATACGGCTTGGAGAGCGTGTGTGACCACGATTACATGGTTGTGTCTACCTCCTCATCCATAGTCTTTTTTCGCTACCTCGATTTTCTGTCCGTTTTCCTGTCTGTCTGTCTATCTGCCGCCCTATTAACCGCGCGAGGGGATGTTAGTAGTTCCATCAGTCAGTCCACCTGTTAAAGTTCTATTTCTCATGCCATCGCAACAATGTTGACCTTTTCTTAGAATAAACATGTCAGGTTTTTCTCTCAGGCCTTAGCGACTGAAAAATTTTAGTTAGGGGGCTGTTATGCTACTAATAAATTATTGAAAGGTTAGTTGATCGAGTCAACGCAGCACTTGGGCGTTTTAAGAATAAAACTGTTTGAGTTAATCGTATTACTTCATGAGTAACCATGAAAATCTGTTGTCTTTGGCCATCAGTTGAAGTTTTCAAGAACCCTAGAGACAATTCAAAACCCGCCGACTGGTTCAAGAAATCGCCTGTACTAACGGATTAGCATTCATTTTTTCTCTATTACTATGTGAGTAACTGCTAAGATGTTTACTGTTGTGTACCAATGTATATTAGTGGGGTCACAGGTAGTAAATCAAATTGATTGCCCTCGTCACCAGAGTCACAAATATGTGACATGTATTCTTTTTAATTAACGATGAGAGACTCCCTTACATCCCTTCGGGAACGGGAAACTCAACTCTACAGACACTAAAACGGGTGTAGGAGGCTCTTGGTTTGGGCGGTTTTACACTTGCCTAATCTGACCAGCATAACTTGGAGGATATATTAAAGGAACATATGGTATTCGGTAGACGGCTAGGTCAAAGAACGTTATGCGTTATGTCCGCAGGATACCCTGATGAGTCAAACGAACCCGCGTCTTAATTTTGCTAGGATGTAGGTCTAAAGGAGCCACTGAAAGTTTAGTAGAAACACTCCCCCACTCTTTTGGCTATAAAATAATGTCTGATTTAGTGAAATAAGAAATATTTGGTATTTTTAATAAAATGATGTAAATACATTTTATTTAGCATAAACAAACTGCTTTGATAAAGCTATGAGAAAAGGAGGAAAAAATATACAAATGTTTTAAACCCACCTATTAGTTCTTGATGTAATTGCTACCAGGGTATCAACGACTCATCCATCCTTCTCTATCATGTGATTTAGTCTGGAATGTCATTTATATTCTGTGTTTAGTTTAACAAGTAGACTGTTGGACAGGAGTCATGACGACAGCCGTGGGTGCATTGACTGACATGTCCGTCGGCCAATAAGGCGTTTGAGACGGCCACCATTTTAAGAATCTCAGTGGCCTTCCTCAGGCCTATAAGTTGTATCGCATGGGGTCACACCCTCCTGTAAAAGTGTCATCTTAAAATGATAAAAGGATGAAAATCGGGTGCAATTTTGTCACTATGGCTAGCTATCATGCTACAAGTGCCCTTAGATAGTCGATTTACACAAGGCGACCTTTATGAATGGCTGGGGTTTGAAAGTTGGTGGCGCTTGGGAGAGGGTTGGGTAGCAACTGTTGCACAAAGTAAAATCGCCCGCAAGACCTCTCCTCCTCTTAATGACTCCAAAGGAAAACCAGGCGATTCGTTAACGCCTACGTTCGTTTAGGTATGCAAATTCCATTCCAGGTAGAAGCCTGAAAGCCAATGTTATATCATGTGGTCGAAAATACATCCCAGATTTCAAAGTAGAGCCTTGTAGGCAGAAAGGCGACCCGCAGATTGAAACTAATGCATCTAGGTTGAAGTCGTCGGCCGCACGAATCTTGCTTAAATCGGTTCCGAAGTTGCAAACGCTTCTCACTTTTAGATCGAGTGCCTGCAAGCATTGAGAAACAGCCCACTGCTTCTCTAGATGACAACACTTTCTTCATCAGTGGGAGGAAGAGAGATACTAGCCCGTTTCCATCGCTTCAATCCTTTGGTGATATTCATCTTAACAATTGGTATCACCTTTTCTTGACATTGGATCATCATGTGCGGCATAGACAGGTGGCATATGGAATTGGGTTAGAAAGGAAGGAGTTTTTGCTTTCTGTTGAGCCATTTTGACCAATTGTACTAATGTTTATTTCATCGAGTAAAATTATTTATAAGAAGCTTTCTTTTTTTTTTACTTAGTTACGCGCAACACGACTTGACGAATGAGGCCTACCGAAATTTACCGGCAAATTTAGCCTTGTTTGTTTGAAGGTGACAAGTCATTCATTCAGCCGTTTTTTCATGATGTGGAAGTCGAAGCTTAACTGTCCTACAAAAGTTAGGCTATGGTTAGCACAACAAGTAGTGCCCGTCTTTTGACACTCATTTGTTGCAACAACGCTACTGTTTCGGCTTATAAGTCTTCCAATTCATTTATGGAACCACGCTAACTGTTCATAGACTGATTTACTCCACAAAAATTCTCTCGCAATGTAGTTTCTTCTTCGTACAACTAACAAATCTACTTTAATACTTGTTTTAATGGACCATTACCGATCACTTTGATCACAGGATTTTGTTGCACCCAGGGTATGGCTACTTGCAAGCGAATAATGTATGACTAGAAAAAAGGCAATCAAGCAGGTAAGTAAACAAGCCAATCCATTTGGTGGGCGTTTTGCCCACCGTTGGCTCATAAACAATACAGCACGATCCTCCTAAATAACTTTTCCAACCGCTTACGCAGTTATTTTGAGCAAAATTTGGGGTAAAAAGTTTGCTTGGAGAAAAGAGGCCGAAAAAGAGAGTGTTAAAGTGATTTAGCGGATTAATTAAGTGAGTTTTTAAGGCTTCTTCATTTTTTTATTCCTTATAAAGACAGTAGGTCTTTGCATTTGATGGTGGCAAAAAGATGCTAGTTACCGTGCAGAATGGTTTTTTGGAAAACTTCTTTTATCCTTCTCAATGCAGAAACAACATTCATTATTTAAAATGCCTAAAATAAATCACTGTGTAGGTGGTAAATAAGGCCCTCTTTTTTTAAAAAAATTGAACAGACACCGCTTGTACTGACAACTCTATAGCATCTTGACGTGGTGCTTAATTATTAAAGATATCAAATAAAGCAACCACGCTAAATTTAGTAAATGTTAACAAAAATATATCTAAAATGTACTTATTTTTTACGGGGAACTATTCCACCTAAAATTGTGCTTTCCTCCGCGCCACATCAAGCCGCCTAATTCGGTCTCACCGCCAATCAGTGCTGGAGTCAAAAAGCGAAGCGCCGCCGCATCGCTGCCATTGCCTTTCGGGCGCCCCGCAAGAAACCACAGCATTTGGGCTATTTTATCTCACAAAAAAGGGGTAGCATATCTCTCCACAATATCTGCCCTTCCTTAATTCGTCAATGCATCTATGTGAGTCACACAGTCACTCAGCTTAGTAATTCGACCTACTTTTTCGAACAAAAAATGCAGACATGTGATGCTACCTCCACGTTTCCGGATAACTCATCCCTCCACCAAGGACTCGAGAAGCTGCCCACCTATGCTATTCTGATCTCACTTTACACCTAGCCCCCAACCTCGTCTAGAAACGGGGCGCGTTAATACCTCCTTGTTGAAAAGTCTTCCCTTCCTCTGTAAGTTAGAACAAATCTGCCCTGGAGAAGGATTTGTGAACTGAACAAAAAATTGCCAAAAGTGTAATAGATCCTGACACCATTGGCGTCTTTTACACCCCAATTTTCTAACAATAAACAATCATGATATTAACAGCGCATCTGTTTCTCCACTTGCATTTTCTGCCCGAGTGCAGTAGAAGGAGCACCTCTAAAGTGGCCTTTCCAGTCACGAAACCTAAAAGTGGTACCCATTGTAGTAAACATTTTGATGGCAGAAACGCCTGCGTGCAGAGGTGACTAATTGGTCACTGACCCTAAGGGCACGCAGTTATGCACACAAACTGTGACCTATTCAGTCGCTTAGCCTGCCACAATACACCTCTACTGGATGTATGAGTCCTTTAAGCATTTTTGGTTTCAGGATTTCGTCCAAATGGCCAATTTGGGGTCGACATGGTTATATGAAAGCTTAATGATCCTACTCCTTCCTTTTTTTTATTCTAAAAAATAAACAATGCGTTTAAACAACTAATGCGTGCGTGGTAACGGGTGAGGACCAGTGCCAGTGGTTGATTCCAGAAAAAGGCAATAGAGGTAAATACTTAGGCAGCCAATTCGAGTAGGAAGTGTTCACTTGTCGTGACTTTTGTTGTGTAGAAATATGCGAGCTCACAGGTGGAAGAGAATAGCCTATTTCTGACAAAGCTTATCATATTCAATAAATTGCATTTTGGAGACAAACGATTAATTCCTCTCCTCATGGCTAAAGTCATGGAGAGCTAAGTTGTCATCACAGGTCGCATTTGTGAGTTTAGAAGGGTCCCCTTGAAGAACCAAAGTTTGGTTCAACTGTCGTGACCACAAAGCACGCATGACGCCCATGAACAGTTGCCCCTTCTAGGAATAGGCGTGATTGCTGCTGATTGGCCGAGAGGAGAACAGCTGTCCGACTGTACGCGTTCACACAGGCCTGTGAGATGAATGATGACGAGAGGCCAATCAACTGCGCGATTAGGAGTGAACGTACGCACCTGCGTATGTGCGTCCATGTGTGCAGGTTTGGATGATGACACAAGCGACACCCATCTAGTGTCATTTGGACCGCTCTGCCGCGTGTATGATGTTTGCGGTGTGCTTCATTATCGCGGCCCTCCTTCCTGCCATGGATCAGGCAATCAAGAGGAACGAAGTCGTCATGAATGCCTCGGAAGGCGTGGAAGTAGGTTCCACGATTGGAACGCTTTCTTCTTACAGTGGTGGGCGGGAGGCGTCTTATCTGGGCATGGTCGATGGAGACGCTCTTTTCAGCATTGAGAGGGACGGAAAAGTGGTCGTTGCGAAGCCCATCGATTTGGAAACTTTATGTCGTGAAAGAGAGGTCTGTTGCACGTATTCCAAGCCCTGTCAACTCTACTACACCGTCATGGTAGAGGATCCACGCTCGGAGGAGATAAGGGAAATCAACTTACGGATCCGAATCATGGATGTCAACGATCATGCTCCACGCTTTCGCCAGCCGAATGGACAGGTTGTTCAGGTTTCTGAAAAGGCTCCCATAGGCACGTCAATCGATATTGATCCCGCAGTTGATGGTGATTGGGCGTTGGAGAACCAGATTCAACGATACGCACTTCATGGCTCGGATATCCAACGCTACTTCGAGATTGACAATTCTGATTTGCCACGTATCCAGCTAAAGCTACGTGAGCAGCTGGATTACGAGAAGCAGTCAGTCTTCAAGGGGACTCTTGAAGCCTGTGATCGGCATAACTGTACTACCGCCCCTTTGACAATTAACATCATCGATGTGAATGACAACCTTCCATTCTTCCATCCCCCTCTGGAGCATAACCTAACTCTTCCCGAAGACACGCCAAGTGGAAGGGTTATTCTACGACTCAATGCGACAGACTATGATTCACCACCGAACGCTCGAATGCGTTTTGAGTTTGTTGGTGCTGAAGATCCCTCCATTTCATCAACCTTTCATTTAGATCCGCTCACAGGAGCTATTTCCCTAGCTCGTAGACTCCAGGCCGATGTTCGGTTGAACTATCATTTCAAGGTTCGTGTGAAGGAAACGTCCGACTCGGCGCCCGTGGGAGTCTACGGTAGACCCTTCCATTTTAACGATATTCAACGTCGAGACACAGTGAGTGTCAACATTCGAGTAGAGGACATCAATGACTTTGCTCCCGATATTCGGATGGTTATTCCACCTGAGAGTTCAGAAGTTTGGGTTCCTGAAAACTCATCCCCCGGCAGGATTGCCACTTTAAAAGTTGAGGACAGGGATCTAGGTGACAATGGTCTTGTCACTTGTGGTCTAGACGGCGCTGGTGAAAGTTTTGAACTCCGACAACTCGTTCCTTCCATCTACGCCCTTCACAGTAGACGCAGTTTTGATGCAGAAGCCGAACCGATTGTATTTGTCAACATAACCTGTTCAGACAGGGGCACTCCGCGACCGAAGAGCACACAAAAACATATTGTTGTTCGGATTGACGACGAAAATGAGTTTGAGCCAGTGTTCACGAAGAAGGAGTACTCTGCCAAGATTACTGAAAATGCCCCGAATAACACCTTTGTTCTTCAGGTACGTGTATTGCATTCTCCCTAGCACGTGATCGTTCTATGTGTCGCGTGACAGTATTCCTGCTTATATTTGCATGGTTTATAGGTTGTGCATAAAAGCATTTTCGTATTGGCTGTAAGATCGTTTGAGCTAGCCACTCCCCCTACTTTTTATTGTGTAGGTTACTAAACTGTTAAGTTAATGAATTAAATTACGCCTAACCCCGGGGTTGATAAAAGTCGGCACTTGCGAGTGTGGACGGGCATGAGTCATTGTCTAGATTCGTCAATCCCCCCTCGCCTTGTCTGTTTTGGGCACTTGAGATAGGGTCGCGTCACCGCCTGTAGTATGGCACCACCCCTACTTTCCATTGAAATAGTGATACTTTGCCATGCGTGTGGAGCTCCTAATATCGTTGAAGGTGGTACAAGACATGCCTCCGCTAATGATGCACACAAAGGCTGGGAATACGTTAGCTCAGATGGGATGAGCAGAGCCCGTGAGCACACCTTAGCTTCTCGCATCGAACCTCCTTTCCCAGGCTCCATGCGCCGGTCTTCTATTTCGGACATTACAAGGTAGTCGAGACATGTCATACAATGATTCTCCATCAGTCCAAGTTTTGGGGTTTAATCTGGAGGTCGTGTTTTTTGGTGCTACTTCCGTGCTGTCTAGTTGAGTGTCTAGAATGGATTATCCTCACTTTCTTGCAGCGAGCTAAAGTATCTCATCCTCATCTCGCAGACGTACATTACGGCCTTACTAAAAAATTACCAAAATCAGACTTGTTTCGACAGCTTTCCTGTTGAGATTTTGCTCTAATCCCGCAGTCATCTATCTACTTCTGTGTTTTGGTGTAATTGGTGGTAAGTGGGATTGACCTCCGTTTCCGTCGGGTTGGCAAAAGCTCACTACTGTGGGTTTCATTATAAATGTGCAGACTAGTAGCTTAAGTTCATACCACCATCGTGGATGCTGAATCGTAGGACTGAGAAAAAGACCCACGCAGTCGAATATGTCGTTAAAATTAGTCAAGTAGAGCGAGTTAAGGCCCGTTCGTATATCTCCTAATGGACCGAGTCGAAGCGTTTGCGTGTGGTCGACCTTTTAAGATTGAAATATGAGCTGGAGTGGAGTAGTAGTGCCAACTCAAACTCAAGCTACCGTCTGCTGTGCGTATTCATCGTGGTAGGGACTAGCGAAAGTAGGCGCTTGGGTGGGCCATTAGGACTTCACCCCTGCCCCCTCTGGCCGAAAATGATCTCCACGCCTGATGTGCGCCCTCAGAGCTGCGTTTGAAGATACCGTATTTTTTAAATTTGCCATGCTTTTTTTCGGCACGGAGAGGTCGCACTGGCGGATTTAGGGATGCGTAACTCGTGCATTTTAAAAATGCAAAACTTCATTGTTTCCGATAAGTTCGCACTTTTAGTGGTGAACGCGCGCTCCATCTCCTAATATTGGAGATGATTTCCTCCCATTGAATTAAAGGTGTTTGTTTCGGTACTTCATCTTGCCGCTTGCAGATGGTCTCTGTCAACCAGCGCACTGGTTTTCGGACACGAATGTTGGTTTCTTTTCCCGAGAAGCGCCAATCTCAAATGCGTAAATGTTCCCCCCCCCCCCCCGAACTCGTAAAACGTCCCGTAAAAAATGCTAGGGGTAAACACAAACACCAGTCCTCATCACCGCTAGCTGTGTAAATATTGAGGTCGTCTCTACCGGGAGCCGCTGACGTTGGTGGCACACCACTCCCTATTTGCCCTGCTGATCACGCTAACCCGCATTTTCCGGATCAGCGATTCGGATAAAGATAGTGGGTCAAATGACGCCGATGATGGCATCAATTCGACCAACTCTACTCTGCGGATAATTAGGCTGATAAATTGAAGATTCACGGTGTCTCAAGCCACTTCTCGGTCAGACACAGCGTATTAGGGCCAGGAGATGTTTTACAATTGACTGATGTCTTGCAGGAGACTAGTAGGTGAAGGATGTCGGGCTCTGTGATTGATCTTCGCGTCTCGATTATCATTAAAGTGCTTAGGTGAACATAAATTAACCGTGGGAATTAAACGAAGACTGTACGGATGTGAGACAGCTTCGTAGTTTCACTGATTGTGGTGAGCTTTGGAACTTTCGATAAGATGTTCCTTCTTGTTAAGGTTTGTCGAAGTACTGTCTGATAGGCGTCGTTAAAATTTTAGTGACATTTTAAAATCGAGCATATTCCATGTCAATCAATTTAGGCAAGAAAATTTTGTTCGGATGTTAAGTTCATGGCTTAAGGCAGCTTTATTTGGGGTTCCTAACTGCTTTCAGTCATCTTGAACGGTATTTTGATTAAACCACCTTTAAGTTGTACTAATCTTTCTGACTTCTGTTACTTTCTCGTCTGTAATTGGGGTTATAGTAGCCTTCCCGCTTCGCATCTCCTCGGAGTCAGCCATCCATGATATATGCTTTTCTGCTATGGTAATTAGCCCATCCTTCAAAAGGGAATTTGTTCTATTAACCTTGCAGAAAAAGGCTAATTTTACGAGGTGCTAATTTGTCTGCTATTGATTGCCCTTGGGGATGCCTTGTGAATAATAAACACACCTAACGAATGTCGCGCAGCATTTAGCTTGAAGGTTGCAAAATTGTCTCCGTGTGTGCTTTTAGGTCATTGCACGAGATGGGGACCAATCAGCTCAACTTGAGTACAGTCTGAAGGGCGACGGCGAACGCTACTTCAAAATAGATCCAGGCACGGGAAAAATAACAACCATGGAACGAGATATGTACCATATGAGTCGACTGGATCGTGAAATGACACCTGAAGTGACCTTCTTTGTTCTTGTCAAAGATGCGAAACCTGATCGACTGGTTGGTGGTAAGGGTGATAGCCAGAAAGATTCTGGCGTGGTTCACACCGCACAGACGACTGTCACTGTGGAATTGATCGATGAGAATGACAACGCACCCTCCTTCACGGATATCGGGCCGTTCCATCTGTCGGAGAACCATCCCAAACACTCCAAAGTAAATGGACATCTACATGCTGAAGACCCAGACCAGGGACTCAATGGCAAGGTGAGTGGAATATCGTCTAGTCGAGTTGGGCTTTCCTACTGCAAGTTCACATAGAACCACGCGAAGGTGGGCAGGACACGTAGCAGCATAATTTGCAATGCATATTAGCCTCACTCCTTAGACGACTGCTGGTACTGCTTCCGACGCTGAGTGCGTCGTCTTGTCAGTAAGACAGGTGGCCAAAAAAATTCACATGCAAAAAATTAGCATTTTACAGCCAGAAGAAAACATAAGTGAAGGGCGAAAGTTGGTTTGCGTGATTGCTGTGTGGAGATGAGTCGTATAGCATCGTGTGTGGTTTCAGACACTGAGGTGAGCATTTATTCGTCTGATTTGCAACTAGTGGACCTCACGTAAGTCGAGGAAACACAGAAATATGAGAGGTGATACTCTAAAAGATCCACGTGTTCTGTGTGATTCTCCAACGTTTTTGACGAATTTTTCCCCTTTTTACAAACTAATGACATTTACCCTTCTGTCACTCTGTTTTTCCAATTCCTAATTCTCGCAGACCTGAGGGATCTCAAGACGACCGTGGATAAATTTAAGACGTTTTTGTTCAGTGAAATGGGAAGTTGATTTTATCAAGGTTGGCACCAATATGCAATAAAGCCAGAAGCAACGATTCTGCCCATCTGGCACAGAGGGTTGTCTTTGCTCGTCGTTCCCCGCTGAATTTTGACTGACTTCAGGAAGCCATTTGGTAAGACCATCTATCTAATGGACCTGGAGTTGGCAGTCTTCGCAGATTCAGACATTCACAGTAGGTGCCCTTCTGTGGTAACCGCCCATTCCTCATCTTTCCTTAAATATGGTTTAAAACGTCTGCAGAAGTCGCAGCTTTATTTCTCGAAGGCGAGAAAGCACACAAACAAAAGAACCTGGAAGTAGCTTTACTTGCAAACGCTTAAAGGGGCTGAAAGACTACCACCATGTGGCATTACCTTCACAGAGGTTAACTCGGCCATTTCAGTCTTTAATCAAAGGGGAGAAATTGGTAAAGGTGATGGGTGAGGCGAAACGGGGGGTACAACAACTAGGCCGTCGCGACAGCCCTTGTCTGACCTCAATGTGGAGACAGGATTGTGACTGTACAGTTAGTGTTGCCATCATCGCAACGCCTGTCGATGTGCATTCAAGTGATGCGATGTCCGCCCCGTCCCAAATACCGTCCACGTCAGTCCATTTGCCACATTGAGTTGTGGCCACATTTTGGTCGAAATCGTCGTAAGAGAGAATTACACCCAGTTTGTGATTTTTGTTAGAATAAAACGAGGTGAGTTCCGATTCCTTTCTGGTGGTGCTAAGATTTTTGGACCTGAACTGGCAGAAAAGCTGCCGCTCTATGGCCGTTCTTCCTCTGTGATAGGCCATTGCTGTAAGCCAGGATCTGCGATCATGTGCTGATTTCCCAGTTGGGGGGAGAAGCTAGTCGAATCCAACGTGGGATTTGGTGGAACTCCATCCTTTCTGGCTCCACCCAAGGCCTCTATAGTCCACAACGAGCGTGTTTCGTCCGTCCCATTTACCAGAAGGGAGCCCTTTGTGATGCGTGAGAGGGCTGTCATCTCCACGCCTTTCAAATACGCTGTTGGTTTTCTCCTTTGGAATAGTAGATTTTGGGATGATTGGCAAAAATGGGTCTGACTCTTCAATAACCCTTGCGTTATGAGTTATTCACGGGCGGTGTCGTCCTTCCATGAAGTGAAGTGAAAAAGTGAGGGATCTAATTGCTACTAGCGGGGCATCCGCGTTCCTGAATCACAGAACAGAGGAGCTAGTGAATCGTCGACAGAAGTGATGAGACACTAGATATCTCGCGTAGGTTAGATGCACATTTGTGAAGAAGATACGGCTGTCATAGCTCAAAGGTCAGTCTGTAGTGGTCATGTCACCGTGGGTTTGATAATTACCATGATATCAGCAAAAAGATGGCGCTTTCTCTGCACATAGCGGGAGCTATGAGCAAATAATTGATGAAACATCTTGTCACAAGCAGCTGTCGTCTCATATGTCCCTCGCGAGTTTAAATTTCCAGTAATAACTACTAAACTGCGTAACGTTGCAAATGCTGGAGACTACATCTGTCCTATTTATCCATCTCCCTCTTTTTATCATTAAAACGCTAAATTCTATCTTAAAATTTATGATTTTCCAATAGGAGGAATTTAAAATCCCCTCTTTCGTCTAATAAGTGTTTGAAAGGGTGAGTTCAGTCGTGGATATGGCAGAGGTCTTTTAAATCCATTTTATTACGCAAGATGGAGCATTAGTTGGTCGGAAGAGTTCGTGTGGTTGCCGGTATACTTCGCTACAATGACTTACTGTAACCTGAAGATTAACTTACGAAGGAGAGCCTTCGTTAATGTTTACCCCGAGTAGTAAAATACGTTATTTGTACCTGCATTAAATGGGGGAGTTATGGAAGCTTTGTAAATGGGTGTAGCATACATTAACAGATGGTAATAAGTTTCGAGGACCTAGCACTTAGCTTTCCACTTCGTGCGCCTTACTAAAGCGCTCCGTTTATTTGCTGACTGACTTATAATGAAAACGCCTTTGTGCTCCAACGCTGGTTAAAAGAACGATTTACCCACTCACAGGTACAAATCACTTCGCTCTCAGGGGGCTGGTCTTTATGTATGGGTGTATGTAGTGGACTTCGGATGAGGAAAACGTATTCAGAAACTCACTCAGTCGGAGGAAGGTGCTGTTCTTTATGCAGAACAATGTTGAGCCTCATAGCGCACAACGTATTTGTTGAAAGATTCGTGTTTCAGACTGGAATGGGGGTGAATCCTTCCATATCATCTCCGTTCCCCTCGTTCTTATCACCTTGACGATATCCATGCAACAGACACAGAGCGGGGCCAGCTTGTGTCTCGTTGAGAAAAGAAAAGGGTTGTGGTACTGGTACTGGTACTGGTCTTTTTGATAAATTAGGGGTATTAGGGATTTTCAAAAAAAGCGCATAATTGTCTCGTGACAACTGAATGAAAGTGCATTTCATTCATTGCTTCATCACATAATAAAAAAATCAGACCAGTTTATGAAATCCCTGATGAGAATGCACCAACTCCTCAGTAGTTTGAATCACATTCCCTACTTAGTGCGAGGTTACCACTAAAAAATATGCTATTTTTAGCCTCATAGTTGACTTTGATCGTGTCTCACGGGTCGGCGAATGAGCCAAAGCAGAATAAACCGTTCAGGCAAGTAGCTGCGTATTGCGCGTGGATGAACACTAGACGAGGGCTGTTGCATTAAGCTGACACACTGCCACTTTTCAAAGCAATCAAATCTGCCTGTTGATCTGGTAGTTTCTTTTCACCATATGCACACTAACCAATCCTAATTTATTGCTCTGCCCCAAACTAGACATTCGCTTGCTTTGGTTTGCCGATGACATCTCAAACTTGTAGACCGCAGTTAATGGAATCACTCAAAACACCAACGTTGACAACTCGAAACAGTAGGGAGAGGAAACGTTTGGCCACCTTTTAATGAGAATTAGTCACATGCGTGGCGGACTTGGGCAAAGGTCCAAGGCAGATAAACTGAGGGCGACCGAGGCAGTGATCCGAGCAACGTGGGACAGTTGTGGCTAGCATTCCAGGCGTCCCAAACAAACCAATTGAATAGCCGGATGAGTATACGGCAGAGGAAACACCTTCTTGAGGTTTCTTCTGCTACCTTACCTCCTAGTAGTGATAAGGTTCAAAGTGACAAAGTGTACGAAAGCCACACGTCTGTCTTTGGAGTGGTGTATTCGTAACGTAAACAGGTGTGCACATGACTGCATCAATTATCAGCAGAGTGGACCATTCTTTTATGGAAAAAATATATTTTCTCCTTGATACTCATTGACCATACCACATTTTTAGGCTTGGCAACCAAACTAATAAGGGTTTTAACTCCCCTGTCCTCCCGCCAATTGAGCAATAAAAGACCATAAAATGGTGTTCATGGCTGAGTTTTATGTCTTCTCTATTGATGCTGATTTTAAGGTTTGTTAATCTGTCCACGGATCTCTTTTCAGGTGAAATATGGGCTACAGGATGTATGGGACTCCTCAAACCACGTGCGAAAGCATAACCTTTTTCAACTGGATGAAACCACCGGAGTTTTGCGAGCTCTGGAACCTCTAGATCGTGAACAGACAGCTGAGTATACACTCCGTGTGGTTGCCTGCGACATGGCACCTCGTGACACCCGTTGCACCAGTGTCAATGTTACTGTCTCCGTGGGAGACGTCAATGACAACGCTCCAGAATGGCTGTTCCCGGTTGTTAGTGATGAAGCCTCTGCTGAATTTGCAGAATGCGTCAATATTACGACAGACGCTGTAGCTGGACAGGTGGTGGCTCAACTAGTAGCTCATGACAGGGACGCTGGACAGAATGGAAGAGTTCGCTACGCTCTTCACGATCCTCACAGTCAGGTCGCATTTTCGGTTAACGCTACGACGGGTCGAGTCACTGTTGCTAATAGATACTATACTGGATTGGCGGAATCCAGCGGATCTCAACAGCAACAACAACAGACTCTACAACCGGGGGTTCATCGCCTCAGAATTCGAGCTTCGGATATGGGTCAACCTCCCCAGTTCTCAGATACCTGGCTAACGGTTGGTTTTCATTCTAAGTAACTAGGAAAGTTTTTTTTGAGTTATTCGCATAATCGGGTTTCCATCTTGTTCAGATTCGCGTCGTGGGAGCAAGCTCAAGTTTCTTCAGTCTCCAAACGGGTTTACTGGTTCTTCTGGTCCTAGTAACTCTTATAATTGCAGTCAGTTTAATCGTAGCCATTGTATGCATTCGTCGGCAGCATTCCACAGGCTGCAAATCGCGTCAACAGATCGTCCCAACACCATCCCACGCTCCTAGTTACATTCTTCCAACAGCTCATCCTCATTCAGACTATCCCACCTTCCTGAAACAGAGTGGTAGTGGACCTGCCTACATGTTAGCAAAGACGACTGCTGGAAGTGTCTGTTCCAGCGATCATTGCGAAGGCAGTGGTGCTGGAAATTGCCCAATCACTGATCTAGGAGTTACGGAGTTCTACGCTCCCTACGGTCTAGCAACGAGTAGCACCCAGGGCGACGATCAAGTGAGATTTGTTGAGGTGGATCCGACAGGAATAGCTGGAAGCACGGCGGCATATTTGTCTTTTGCTCGAAGCGAAGTTGGATCGAGCACTTCGCCGGGAGTGAGACTGGTTAGCACCTACCATCCCGTGGCGTATAACACTTGTGATTCTGTCAGTCCCCTACCCACCATGTCTTCGGGAAATCCTGCTCCCGCACAGTCAGTTCAGGGCATGCTCAAATTCAGACAGGTGAGTTGCTGATCATGGCGGTTGATGAATGGTTAGTAAGGAGGTAGTAGATTAGATTTAACCCCCTTCTCTTCACCATTGAGAACATCTTTTAAAGGCATCTAGGTGAACCGCCCGTGACATCTTTTAAGATTTGACCACTTCTATAAGATTGAGAAAGTTGAAAAAGTTGAAATTCCCTACATTCCATAAGACTTTGTGGAGCTATGGTCAAGTAATATCGAAAACTATGAGCTAATATGCAAGCAAGAGGCGTGGATTTTTTCATTGATAAGCTGAAAGTTGTCAGACGACTTCAGTATCTATCTGGTCTATAAAAAAGGATTTATTTGAAGCTAATATCCTAGACGTCGGTAAATATATGTTCACCACCCAATAAAATTCGTCGTCAATTTCAGCTACCGCTTTTATTAATCTCTAAGGGGAGGAGATGGGCATTTTAGACCTTTTCCATTTTAAAATGGCTTTAGTGTCCCAATTGGAGTGTTATATGGCCTTTGACACTACAAGCACCCTAAATGATTTTTCTTACCAGTGCATATTAAAACTAGCTCTTCTAGGGGGACAAATGTTAGGAGCAACGAGGTCGTGAAAACTCGCCGACGACTCATTCCTAATTAGTGGTAACCGCACTAGGAGGGGTGGAGCAATCTTTAATGGCTGAAGCTCTCGTCTTCCATTCATTTTCTAGAACAAATTTAGGGCTTTAAATGTCCATATATTAATTATAACAATAGCATTATTATTGGTGCCAATTTACCGGCTCATTCTTGTTGGTGGCCAGATTCCATACAGAAAATTTGCACGCAGTTGAATCACTTCAGTGGCTACTGGTCCAGCCTCCGTGGGAATTGGTATAAGCCATTGTTCAACCGGTATACCTATGGTTCCGAAATTCAGCCGAACCCGCATGCCTGCATAGGTGGGTTGGTAGGCTAGGGGAGGCCAGTGACGCAGCTTAAACTTCTTACTTCCCCCTCCCCTCCCTTCGTGTGGGCCCATAGAATTTTCGGCTCACTCGTCCGGTAGACAGGCTACCTTCAGGAGTGATTTGTGGCCGCAATCACCTAGTCTCAACTAACCAATCACCCTTACTCCTGCTCCCAGATGATAAATGACTTTGGCTCTTTCACTCCTGTGACGAAGAGCTAGAGGCCCGATTAGGCATTTCATATTAATTTGAAGAATATCCTTTCTCACCTGCTAAAGCATTTGAAGTTTTATCCTTCCTGAATGCGTCAGCAGCCTACTGCTTACCTACACCCATGCGCTAATCATCCTCGTGTAAACTTTCCCGTGCCTGTGCTAGGGTGTGATTAATTTCCCTCCCATTTCTGCTGGTAGGGTCTCATATTTGCCATCGTTAAGGCCTCGGCGACAGAATTTCCAAATTCTGGCCCAGAGACGCGAAGCTGTCAATCGTGTCGAACGGCATTCCACTGTTATGCTGGTCGAGAAATTCGTCCGTACACAAGACTCGGGCATTCACCTGATCATGAATTGGAAAACTTGGAAAAGTTAACTAAAAATGCAGGGCCAATGGTTAGGGGAACAGAGTCGCGGAGACCTGAGAAAAATCCAAACCATTTGATGCAGGATTGTCATTACTATTGGATAAAAACCGCGTCCTTAACCTTCCGTGTAGAAAGAGGACATGAATGTGAAATGTGGTATCCAACTCATCTTCCCGTCTTTGCCTGTTATCGTGGGACCTTAGTAAGAGTTTATTCACCCATAAACCATAACTTTTGACAGGAATAGGTGGGGGGAGACAGGCGCAGTACGATCAGTCATCCTTCTCTCCCCTCCCCTGAAAACACATTAAAAAGTCTACCACCTTTCCTCTTTCCTTCTCCCCCCTTGTGCACGAATGTGAAACGGAGCGAAACGAAATGCATATCCAAACCTACCGTTAACCCTAGTGTCGTCCTCCCCTACTCCAGAAAGTTGACTCGTCTCTCTATGTAGCGCCACATTGCAAATAGACGCGACAGCACACCTGGGCGGGTCTGGGGGCTCCCGACGACCTTTATTGGTTCGCCAGGCATCACGCACACTGCCCCCCTCATATGTTGTGGGAATGGAGGAGGTGGTACTGGGCGTTTTTGAAAGTGATGATGCGAACTTTTTACCAACACTGTTGGTGAGCTGTTTCTCACCACAAAATTAGCGAAAATCCATAATATTATTATTTTTAAAAGCGAATTTATTAAATCCAACCTGGAATCCCATGAATGTTTCAGTTCTGCTTTTTGGTGAGATTTTTTTGAAGAGAAAAAGGGGAAATTTAAAGGCACTTTTATTTTTTCTCAGAAAGTCGGCGCGATCTGGAATTTTTCTTATACCTTTCCGTTTATTATATAATAACGTGTCAGCACAGGCTTCCTTTCGCAGTCCTTTCTTCAAATTTCGTCCGATACATGGAAAAGTTTATTCCGACAGAAGTAGTGAATGTCGTGGAATTGGATAAGATATCCTAGCATCGTGTGCCCTATCAGGCGAAGCACATCAGAGAATTACTCGTCGGAGGTGTAGCCTCAAGAGTTGGACGGTGTTTTGGAGCGAGTTCCTTTTTTATGCCAATCGCTTTTGGAGGAAGAGGCGTCCTTTCTCCGGATCAATGCCATAAATCGTGATCGCAGCAATGTGGCGAATAGCCCACTCGAGGCAGGTATTAAAAGTCGATGCGAATTCAGCAGATCTTCTGTTTTGAGTCCACGCGGATCCAGGCACCCGCATCACATTACTTCCAGACGTAACTTTTCCGCAAAAAGCGGGATTGTTCACTTCTTTCCTTCCTTGAAGGCTTTATAGGACCTAACAGTTGAGGCTAAGGTTTATCTTGATCCCAGATGGGGGACAAGCAGAATATTGGAATAACTGAAACACGAAGACCTTCATGCCACAACTAGAGTGGATGCTATTTTGCCTATTTTCTGATCTTGTTTTTCGTCCTCCACACAGACATCAGGCCCACCGGAGTTCCTCTACCCAGGTCGAGGCAACAGCGAAGAGGTTTTTGAACTTCCAGAGGCGTCAGGAGGTCGGTACGCAGCGCCTGGCCATGTGCACACCTCTCATCACCACCCACTTGCCTCCTCTGAACAGTTCGAAGGCGGTTCCGCGGACTCTGGCAGGGGTGTGAGTGAGGACGAACCTCCACCGGCTCACGTCATCCATTGCAACGGTAGTTCTGACTGCCTTCCAATTTCCAATACATCGACATTCTTTTGCCAGAATCCGGGATCTCTGCATAGACCCTCCACTTTCCTTGGGAATGGCGGTGGTGGAGTTAGTCTACAGGAGGAACACATCCATCCCACCGGTTTGTTGATGTTTGTTTCACTTATGTCTTCTTGAATTTGTTCCCGGGTGAATCGAGGTAGCGCCATCTTGAAATAATGCGGGAATCATTGAGGGTGAAAGGGCCAATCATTAGCTGGAAATATGCCCGTCATACGACTAGTTTTGTTTGTCAACAAGTACCCTTGTAGGTGAGTACGATTTGTCATCCTGGTGGAGAGGCTTTTGTAAGTCGAGGGGTGAAGTGAAACCCAAAGTCAGGAAAACTTCTATTGATAGCTAAATGAGAACTAAATAGCTGTTAAAGCAATAAAAAGGGCAGAATGTGTCCCTATTGTTGCGCGTCATAAACCCCCAAACTCGTGGGACACCCTGTTCCTTATCCAGATGTTGATATACCAATGGCCATTTTTGTACTCCTTTTTTGCCTGGAAGAAATGATGCAACTTTAAAAGTAAACAAATTAGAGTAGTGTCCAAACTTTTCACCTGTTCTTTTCCTAGTTAGAAGTACCCCATTCAGTGGAGTTTTGAGTGTTGCTTTAAGCTAGCTGGCTAGAAAGCTATTCTTTAATTCAAAGCCAAATAATCACCCTTCATTTCCTCTTTATTTGTCTTTTTTATCAATCGCTACATGTGTTTTTCACCAAATCCATTAGCGAGCTGTAACAACCCAAAAGGCACAAACAATGCGAGCGTCTCATTAAGCTGGCTCCATAAACACAGTCATAGAAATGCGCATGCAGCCCATAAATAAGACTTTTGTGTCACTCCTTCCACTCTTTTCCTTCTCTCCCTGTAGCCACCCCTCTGCTTCCTTGTAGCAGGTAGTAGTGAACGCTTTATGGCTAACCCCTGCATTTAAACCCTGGCCGAACTGATGTGGAACGACGTGAGCTGAATGAAGTGTCATATATTAATGCATATATAGAGGGGGGGGAGTGAGAAGTCCTAGAGATATCATATATTTTTGGACGGTGTCGAGGTTTGATTAGCGGATTGCTGTCCAGAAATTTTGACAGTTTGAATAGGTTGTTACATAAATAATGTCTCCTGCAACTTCTGACCAGAGGCTTTAACTAGTTTCATTCATACGAGGGAATCTGTTCTCTCAACTCGTTCAATTTGGCAATTCCTTTGTTGACCTACATTTCTGCCTAACTTGGTTTGCTAATAATCTATTAAGACATAAAAGGAAACAGCTTCTGTTTAGTCTACCTGACGCTCACCGCCCAGCTAAAAAAGTCCCTTACCTGAAGAAAAAGCTAGCCTTTGGTTTAAACCTCAAACTACAAGACGTGACCATGGGCGGGTTTGATGCTGCGAGTCTCCATGGGGCTTCCACTCTGAATTTACGCAAATTGAGGTAAATAGGACGTAGTCTATTGAGTAGACTAACCTTATGGTTTATTCCCTTTTGCAAATTTTATCAACCCGTTCGTTGTGTACACCATAAAATCAAGGAAAAAAGGGGGACTGTACTTTGTCAAAATGACCCATCGATCACTTTTGGAGGTAAACTATTCAATAATTCGTTCATTTTGTCCTTTTACGAACGAAAGTGGGACACTTCGCCCTCCTTTTTGTTACTGAAAAGTGGTCATAAATCATGGTTAGGTTTGACATATTTGATTAAGCGTCACGAAAGCATGGACATTACTTCTTTCCACTGATGACTCTCGCATAATCTTGTGGACTTTTAACTATCACTGGCTTCTCAAAATTGAAAAGTTTAATTAATTTTTACACACCATTAAGTGCATGGTAGATTCTATCGGTGTGGAGGGGTGAGGGAATCGTTCGGATGAAAGTTGTTTGGTAGCTCGGTCTCTGGTGTCCAAGTGGTCAAAAAAATTGATGTTGCTCGTTGCGGTGACTTGTGGGAACTTGTGGAACATGTGTGATTGTTCATATACTTGCGTTTTACGAAACCCAGGTAGATATGCGTCATTTTACCGGTATGGTAGTCTTTATTTATGCACTTCTTCACTACTCACCTCATCTTGGAAATCCCTCGTTTTAAGGAGTCTTTATCAACATCGCTGGGTGGAATTTGATATTGTCTACTTTACTGACCAAGTTCAAAAATATGGGTCACTCGTCAGAATCTTATGATGTTTTAAGAGGATGTGGTAGTAAACTGTACCGCCCGAAGGTGGTTTATCATTTGTTTGCAGTGATGTCAAATGCATCCATTCATCAAGTTGGAAAAGATTCTTCAAGCATTTCTGACAGTGTGAAGTCAGGTGGAGGGGAGAGTCTTTAGTCAGGTAGTGAAACATACATCAACTGGAAAATTCAGAGAATCCAAGTGACAGAGTGCCGAATGGCCCAAACTCCATACATCAACTGACGGAAACTGCGATTGACGTGCCATAAGAAACGGCTTTGATATTTCGCACGACCCATTACCCATCCTGCACCTTCTAGGGTGCCAATTTATCATCCCCGGGAGGCCGCATTAGCTGTGGTGGTGATGGTGCCCAACCCTTTTCAGCCAAAGGCTATTCAATTATGGACGAGAGCTCGAGGTAGCTTGATACAGTTTCATTTTGTAAAACACTCAAAACTGATGAATCAGTTGGATGAAAGTCCCATTCTTCAGCAAACCGCCACAGAATTGATCCATGGGAAGATTTACACGTTGAGTGGATTCTTCAAGTGTTGATTACCGTCTTTTTGGCATTAAGAGAGGACAATTTCGTGATCAAAGAAAGAAATAGAAATGACTGTGACCTCCTTTGGATACTTCAAGAGATTTGAAGCCTGTTTTTGGTGTGTTGTGAGAAAGGATGGGTTATCGTAGGCTGATTACTGCAACCCATAAAAGTTCAAGGAGCTCTCTTTAATCGAAAATCGCACAAATAGATCAGACGATCCATGTGGCGGAGCATTAATAACACATAAATCATCACATTTTGAGGTATTCAATTAACGAAAAGGTTTTTTTGTTTTTAATTTGGGAGAAAACGGCCTTGGCAGAGATCAAGAAGCTCCCTCTGTTGTACACAAAGGCTAGTTATTTCACAATGTCCATGATGACTGACCAGTTGGACGATAGCACTAATATGCTTTTTCATCCATATCAGTGTGTTTAGCCTTAAAGCTACAATGCATCGCTTTTATCTACTAACCTATCTTCTAGCCAGGCATCGTTAGGACCATAAGAACGTAACAAACATTTTGGCTATTTGTAATTTGACGGCTTTTTTATGCACCGTTGCTATGCTTATTTGAAATAGAGTCGTAGCCTTTCTACCAATAGGACTGGCTCATCGGTAGGTAGCCACACCAACTGCAGCCTGTTCAGCGCGTAGCATGATATGGTTCTTCTGCACGCATTGAATCCCCTCTGTCTTCCCTGAAATATCCTACTCAGGTAGTTTATCCCCCCATCGTTTAGGGGTAGACGAATTTTTACGATGAAACCATCTGTAGATTGTGGCAGTAGTCCACCTCTTTATCTTCTGTCTTCATTTCCTTTAAGGAAGAAGCTAAATATGGAATCTGGTTCAAAAGGAACGATAATCAAAGAAAGATGCCTAGTTACTATTATTTAGATGGGTACTTATTTGTCATTTCTGTTTTAATGAAATTAAACATAAAGGTTGCCTTGTAAATAAATTTGGAAGGCGTTTTGGCCATTCTACTTTGAATTGACTATCAAACTTTGTAAATGGTATAAGTAGCGCTAATTTGTCGTTAAGGGCCTTGCAAGAAACAAGTCTGGATGTACCCTTGTTTAATCGACGATGGAGAGACGTTGGTGAGATTGGAAGACATGCGTAGGGCTGAGGTAGCCAAAGCCCTAGGGAACTGAAGCGGTTCCATAATGGCCAGTAACTTTTTAACGTTAAATTTGCACATTCGCTTTTTAAGTGATATTTAACGTCCAAATTGATATGCTAGAGTAACTTTTTCTATGTACTAACAAACCGGTTCTATGAGGAGAAAAATCACTGGTGAGGGGTTTTGCATCTACAAAGGTCATTCACATCAAACCAGGACTTTTGGGGTAGTGAAAGCAGAAAACTGTAATGCATTACACTTAGTTTCTCAGTTATTTAATGCCTACAAAGCTTTGCTACAGAAAAATGTCTGTACAGATGAGCCATCAGCAAGCGTTTGCGATTGTGTTAATCGCTTCTTATACAATACCGCCACAGTTTATGCGTGGATAAGGTGTTTTACTAGGTAGTTGAATGCTTACAGGCGAGCCTTGGGAAACGTCAAGGGCGGGATCATCATCTGTGGGAATAAGTACGATCACCTTCTAGACATTGACGCTAGTTAAACGACTGAGCTCTCCATCACCGCAGTGCGCTTGAAGTCTTCCGCATATACGCGTGGGTATTTTCAGCCTCGTGGCGTGGGTCTTCGTAGCGTGGTGCATTTCATGCGCACACAGTACTGTTGCCGTCTACCATGTTGATAGACCGTCTGGACTTGCGTACCATGAGGTGAATTGGTTATCAATGAATGTTCGCATTAATCATTCTACTATGTAGCGCTGTCACGGTGGTCGGTAGTCTCGGCTTGACCTGAGCACCCTCTCTGAAAACCCTTTTTTAATTTCCAAACTTGACGTGTTAAGGGTCCTGTAACTACTTAGCTGATAGGAGGGAACCACAAGGCGATTCGCTTTCAGCATCTAAAATATTGATTGTGTAAACAGAAGGCCACAGAATTTCATTATCTTTCAAATATTTATTTCAAAGGTGAATGCCTCGGCTGACCGCACTCCTATTCAAACACACCCACGCTGAATTCGTCGTCATAATCGCTGTCGCCGTTTCCGTTGTCCGTGGAGATGCCCCGAAGAGAAGGATGGAAGGGGAGCCCAATGAAGAGTCCCGCTTTTGTACACACGTCCTCCAAAACCGCTTCTTGTGTAAATCTCAGTCCCTCCCCTCTTCTCCCGAGTCCCTTTGAAATAGTTCACTCCTGGTCTCTTTTATCACACGCGTGTATGTATGTATGTGTATGTGGAGACGAAAATGAATTTGACTGCCTTTTTAAGATCGACTGTCTTTTCCACACCATTTTTAAGGAATTTGGGAGCAACCAAAGGCGGCTAATGTAGTATGAAGTCTCGATTTAGAGTGTGCTTAGGGAGACGGACAGGTCACTTGTGTGGCAGCGAGTGGTGTCCCGAAAACAAGGGTTGCGATGTACGATTAAGGCCTGTCAGTAATTTGAGCTGTCGGACGCTGGAGTTCCCTAAAAGCCATTTTAAGCCGACCAGGTGTGCTGCTGTGGCGTTTGTTCCGGTCCCTGTCAGGTGTCTACTTATTACGGGCATGTTATAATCGGTGGGGGACGAAGTGCGTACTTCGTGGCTGGGCCCTATGATGCGGCGCTCTGGTTCATCCCCGAAGCAGTATCAGTGTAGACGAAGGTCATGTCTCGGATCACACAAAGAATGGAACAAATGGGGTTGTGGGTGGCGGCTCGTGACACAGGCTGGGGGGTCCACGCGGGTAGAATCACACTTCAGGGATATACGTTCTTTACCGCACTGCTCTTTTCGTCTGTGGCGGGTTGTCTGCTTTTTTCGCAGCTAGTCAGCCGTGGAAACTGAACCAACAATAAGCTCATGGAAATGCGAACAGCTGAGTTGACCAGGATTTGCAAAACGTCTCGTCTTTGGCAAGATGAGCAGTTCTGAGGACTGTGATGTGTTCTGTGCACTGACAGCTTTGCTTATGTAAGATCGGCCTAAAAGCAGCTTGTAGGAAAAAGGTACCACTTCTTTCGACAACAGCTAGGTAGATGCTTTAAAGGTCATACGACGGGTGTTTATTACGTTTCTTTTGAGAGTGACTTCGCTCCACTAGTGGCCATTGTGTACAGAACCCAAAGTTATTTTTCTTTTCCTGCTTCTTGTGACATAATTCCATGAATCCGGCTGCCTTATTTTGCACCTGAGCTATTTTTGAAGATGTGCCAACGGAAAAAATGTTGATCATCAGTGTGCGGAATGGTTGGGTGGATATAGGCAGTGGTTTGACATTCATGACGCCAACAATTTGCCCAAACCCCGCGATAACTGGAGAGCCTGCGCAATCTGACATCCATTTAAAATAAATGATTTGTCGAACTTAAAGATCCGGCTACTAATATTACTTGTTTTTCCCAAATGATCCAATCTGGTTTACATCGTTGTAGGCAGTGTTCAGCAGAGCTCTTTGAGATGACTTTCGGCGACTTTCAAATTGCTCGAATAATAAAGCGGAGACATACAACGGCGGGCCTATAGGTACAGTGCTCTTTATTGCACGCCCCTGTCAAGGCTGGTAGATGTGATTTAGGCTTGTCTGCTTTACAGAGACACGACGGTTCCTTGTACAACTTTCTGTGTAACATTTGAAGAAGGTACAGTAGTAGAACATACCGACCCAAATTGATCTACACCTGTTTGCTACTTGTGATGATTCACCTCAAAGTAAATGTATCGCTTTCAAAAGGGCTCTCTATGCGTCTCTCGAAGGAACTGGAGCTTCACTACCACTAGACGTGGCTAATATAGCCATTTTTGCATCTGCATTAAACAGAAGAACTCTGGTTAAGGCTAAACAAGTTAAAATTAAGCTTAAAGCACTAGTGATTTATCCCTCACAATTTTCCCGTTATAAAATCTGCCATCTTTATGACTTTTTGCCGACTCGATTGTGAGGGAAGTGAGATTTGCTTTGCACCTTTCAGCAAAAGAACAAATATTCAAATATTCTCTCCTTACCCACTTCATACTTAAGGTGGATATCGTTTTATCCCTAAAGGGCTGAATGAAATGCGGGCAGAATATGTCACTGTCTACTTGATGGTCTACAGCTGGAAGATGTGGCAGACACGCTTCACTAGCAGTCTCAGTTGAAAATTAAGCACTGTGGTCCACTTTGACCTATCCAACAGATATCGCCAAAACTAGATGATGGAATTGTCCTCATAAAAGATGTGATTTGGACAGTACGAATGCAGCATCTCGGATAATGACTACCTGTTTAAGCATTTAAAGGAGGTGTAGTGGTAGAGGGGCTCGCCTAAAATGTTTAATGTTGCCTAGACTTTTTGCAAGGTGGATGAACAATCAAGAGCACCTTCGATTCTCTAAAACAAAGAATAATGTGCCACTAGAAACAAGTGGATAACCTCCAACGATGGATAGCAGGAAAGATGAGCTACTGGCTTGTACCTACAACAACCGAAGAACCGTGGAACCAAAACATGACATCGAAGAATATTTTATGCACACTTCAACCAATCAAAATAACTCATAAACAGACAGTCGGCAGCAGAGAGAGGATCTTTAAAAAGCAAACAATTTCTTTGTAATAAAACTTTTTTAAGGTAAATAAAGAGTTGATTTCACCTGCACACTTAGGCCCTAAAAGTAGTTGTTTCTAAGGCAGAATTAAACAACGAAGCAATAGCAAACCTATTCCCCAGCAGGTAGCCTCGTGATTCTTCGGTGGAGTGCGGTGGGCAGTTTTGGATGCAACCGGATCTTCGTGAAGAAACAATACTAGACTAGACATAATAACCGTGTGAACTCCATTTTTGTCTCTAGAGCTATCCACCTATACGATTTGTAGATCACGGAACTCCAAAATACACGAGGAAAATCTGCGAAGAACGTGACACCTTTTCACCAGATATTGCTTCCCCGTGGCAAAGATTATGGAGAGAGCATCAGCAGATGGAAAGTATTACAAGAGGACCAGATTGCCTGCTTCATCGGTAGAGATCACCGACGCGTATTGTAAAAGATCTACAGGTGTCATCTCACTCAGCAGACCACTTTCTAGACTCCGGTCTCCTCCACCTGGAACGTTTACATAATGCAGTCCACTGAACAGGAGGATTTATGCATTGCGGGTTCAACCGCAGCTGGTAGTGTACAAGGTGGCTGCATTCTTGCACACCACCTTAGCATTCAAACCTTCGCTTACCACGAGAGAAAGGGCATATTTAAGTGGCCGTACCTCGTTTCGCATCTCCGTTGGATCAGGTCCATTAAATATTCATGCATGGATGTGTCAGTGGGAGAAAGTAGGGGAAGGCGAGAGGAGGAATTTGAAAATGTCATATTTTCTAAAAATAAAAAAGATGAAGGAATAAATGAAAGAATGGGAGAAAGACAAAAAGAAAAAAGATTGAATTGATGAGTGCCATTACACGGAAGTGCAGCTGGTGAAATGGGCTTAGCGATGGCCTTAATAAATGATGAATGGATCGCTGCATTTGCATTTTGGAGGTGCAGCAGTGGAGTACACGAAGCGGCACCAGTCCAGGTGGAGTGGTCTTCCTCCTATTACCACTTACCCAGTTTGACATAAATTTATCCAAATGTCAACATTCTGCTGGTGACGTGCTGCCATCTATCGACTCACGTTTCCCACATGCATTCCAAATCTACCTCCGTCGGCAAGTCTCACTTCCAGGTTATCCCACTCCCACACAACGGCATCCACAAAAAGTGTCTGTCTTCCTCTCCTTCTGCCCACCCTGTAAATAGCAGATGTATTCACATGCTGCTCCACCTACAGAGAGGAATCAAGCATGCGTGCTGGTCGTTCATCCATAAATGTAGACGCATTTTATCACCTGTATATCCTTCCAGTACAGTGCGTTAAATGATGTGCCCGTGTCCTTTCAGTGCGTTCAACCAACCAACCAGCCGACCACCCAACTGAACCCCACAAGCAGGACCGACTGTGGGCTGAACTCACCGATGGCTGTCAGCACATGTTCCTCCTCCTCCCAATCCACCTATTGTGGCCTCCCTTCATCCACACACCTAACATTTGTCAGGAGGGAAAAATTCTTGTGACTCCTGTTTCTTTTCACATCCAGGTGGTAGAAATGTGCCAATTTTTCCCAGTGGACCCGGTCAAAAATGTATTTGTGCCTACGAATGTCAACGTCTTTGTAACGAAGCAAGAGACAGCATTGGGCATTGCCATTTGAGAGTAGAGCGAGACTGGCAGTGGCAGTAGGAGAAATTATTGCATTTTAGGAGGAAAACAGAAGGTATGGCTACATCCTACTTTTTCCTGCGTGAAATTCAGCAGTCCAATGAATTGGGGGTAGCTGCACCAACTTGTGAATTAAGAAATTTTCAATAATATGAAAACGCTAGGGATTTCGAAAGGTATTTGAACCAGTTTTTACCCCCACTTTTCCATATGGACTACGCTTTATTTGCATTTGCGCAAAATGACGTTAAATCCGAGGACGACTGCACCAATGAGGAAATATATATTGAGGCAGATCTACAAACGGACGTAGATATAAAGCGCAAGTTGGGGTTTACGATAGATGCAAACCTTTTATCCGGACGTAATTTTGTGTCTCTATGCCTATTAGTCTACCATCGTGTCCGTCTTTCTGACATTTTACTATGAAAGCTTCCGAATTAATAACTTCAGTAGAGAAAAAGAAGAGTGTGTAGATGGGGCTTCAATCTCCTGAATGACAGTTTTTTTAAAAAAAGCAATCAAGCTTTCCCAAAAAGGAGGAAATTTTAAGTGCCGTTTTGGTATCTGGAATCAAAGAAATCGAGCTTTAGCGATCTTAACCTTCACCCCACTTTCGCTTTGTGGGTAATGGTCATTCTATTTGGCAGGCAATCGTGTGATTGTTGAAGACCAAGGTAAGGGAACCATGTGGTTATGTGAAGGATTAGGAATCCTCAGTCATCCTACTCCTCCCCTACCTCTCATTCTGCCCCAATTTAAAGCGCCAATCTTTCCACCCACAAATTTTGGGGCATACAATGAGGTAATGAGGTACTGCACTGTCTTGTGGATACTTCTTTCCCACCACATGGGTGGCTGTACCCACTGCCCTCTAAGGAATTTTCTCCTCTACCACTAAAAGTTGTTTCGAGGAGACCATTAATCTCAAGTCCTCCACATTCATGCGCACACTAACAAACCCTCAAAGTCCTCTAGCCATGGTGAGGAGAAGGGGAAAGAAAGATGTGAGAAAGAGAGCACACCAAGGCGCAGTGGTGACAGGTCAACACAAATATATGCTCCATGCTTCACACCTCACAAGTCATTGCAAAGCACCACATGGAATAGAGTGCACGATCAACCTGGTGACTATCCGACGAGTGACGAGTGACAGCGCCTTCGTCAAACCTTCCATGTGCTCACTGTTAACAGGCAATCTCAATGTCTGTAGCAAAAGCGTCAGCCATGTGACAGACTTGGGTGACATCCAAGTGGACAAAGACAAGTTGAGTTGCAAGTGGTAGTGGTCGGTGTCCATAAGCTGTTGCTGCAGTCAGAGCTGCTACACCATCATCGAAGACGAATAAATGCATTTCGGTATGGAGGAAGCAATCACAAGGACTGCATGATTGTTGGCAGCGGTGAGAGACCGTGTCACCAAAACACTGGCACAGTTCACTTGCACACTTGCACAGCTCACAATCGCACAATTTCACACCTAGCTACACAGCCTCTTCCACTACCACAGTCGACTCCCCTTCTAAGAGTCCTGGCACCTCCTCCACTTCTGCATTTTAACAACCCTTCTGTTCGATGTTGATAAACCACCATGTAGTTGATATGGTTTGACACACAGAACCATCCAGAGATGCCACCAAGACCCATAGTGTTGACACCAATCAACAAATCCCACCCAAATTGACGATGCTTCCATCTACACACTAAACATACAAACTGGAAAGATGAGGCATTCACAGTGAATGAGTTTGTGGCACGCCTCAACACCACCTGCCATTCCACTTCCAAGTTC